CAGTGATGCACTTAATAAATATGGCAAAAAAGGTCATAAAATGGAGCAAAATTTACTTAAACTTTCTTACTTAGCAACAGAAATGTTGGAGTCAATTGTGGTCACAAGTCAAGGACTACTTTTATGTTTGAAAGTGGTTTGTCTTCTCACTAGGGTTGAGAGAGAGTGACTGGCTCAAAGTCATGAAGCAGACTTTATGACTAAGGCAAGAGTAAAACTCAGAGTCTTCCAGCTGATTCAAATTTGATTGTTTTGAAACAAATAAGAATAAGAAGTTCTCTATATATGGTCTGAAGTTTTTCAAGTAATACTTGGTATCAGAACTCTGTCTGTTTCCATTAAATGTGCTTTTTATGGAGTACCAAGTTATAAATGTAGTGCAGCTACGGCATATTAATCTTACTGCAGAGATTTAATGAGGCAGTTGTTTTGCAATGGACACTGTTGGGAGCAGACAACGATAGAGTTTTACTTCACTGCTGAACTGCAGAAATATTCCTTTCCTGGTCATAATTATAACCACATGATCTCTTAGTTTTCCTTTCTTTTGCCAGCACTTTTCCATGCAGAAGTGGCTTGGAAGGAGGTCCATTAAAATGCAGTCAAATGGACTGGAAACTGGGCTTTTTTCCTGGTTAGCGTGACATTTTAGACTCTTGCTCAGCTACGGATCTATGCTTCATGGAGAAAAATATTTAAGATGACTTTTCAAGCATACATATTGTCTGCTGGGATGGCTGTTAGATAACCATTACTTAAATTTAAATTTTATTTTTGTATAGGTTATTAAAAGTAAGTGTTCTAAGACTAGAGAAGGATTTCTGCCTTTAAGGTTGGCCTTAAACCAATCTCTTACTGGAAGTTAATTGGTATTCTTAGGTTTATTGCTTCTACTTTTTTTTAAGCATTTGTATTTTTCATTATCCTCCAAAGTTGAGGTTTCATTGGATCAAGTTACAGCAATAATATCTCTTGTGAGGAGAAAGAAGATAGAGAGAAAGTCAATGGGCACAAAAAGCTATGGGAAAATATACTATTTTTAAAATTTCTGTTATTTATATAAATAACCAACATAAAAAAAACACTAGCAGTTTATTTATATACTATATCAACAGGCAGAATTTATTTCACAGCTCTTTTTTGCTGCATTCAGTAATTCTGCAGCATGTCATATTGGTAGATAAATAATGCTGAAATAATTGTTAATATTAAGTATGATTTCCAAATAACTCTGTTTTAGAAAGGTGAATATTTTATATCTGGGTTGACACTTGTCTATTGAAGAATAAATTTCTCTGGTAAATCTGTTATTTAGAGCCACTGACTGTAAAGAAAAGTTATTAGTCTACTTAAAACACTTTAAGAGAATATGTATTTAGAAAAGTTTAAGTGTTTAGAAGTGGTGATATGAGAGATAAAGAATATGTGAAAGATAACTTAGATCAATGGGTCATCAGAACATATATGCAAATCTATCCCTAATTGAAAAGTAATTTCAAAGAAAATCATTTTTCTCATTTAATTATATCGCATTTGAAATATCATAAAACTGGAGCTAGATTTTTATAATGCCTGTCTTAATAAAAAGTAGCTGAGAACTAAGAAAAAGAATGTGTTCAGTTTTGTATGCAAACATGTTAGACCTGGAAATTAGATGTAGAATTCCTATTTTGAAGTTCATCATTCATCAAAAAATCCTCATACCTATGGGCAATTGGCAATATATAGTCATTTTCATAAGAACTACTCTAAAACTACTCTAAAATACTGGAAGATACTAATGTAGAGTTGATAGGATAACATTTGCCCGAACATATTTGAAGTGAATTGATTTCTAGTTAAAGTCTAAAGCAGTGGTGGCGAATCTATGGCCCGCATGCCAGAGGCGGCACCTGGAGCCCTCTCTTCAACCAGCTGCCCGCTAACTTGCCAAGGTCCCACGTCCGGATGCATCCCAGCACCCATGCGCTTGCTGGCCTTTGTGTGCAGGGCCCGATGGTGTCAGGCAGCAGCCGCCCCAGCCCTGCCTCTCCTTGCTCTGCGACATGGCCCCCCCGCCCTGCCTCGCCTCACCCCACAGAATCAGCCTCCTGCCCACCGCCCCACCCGCCAGAGACCCCTGGATCTCCCCAACCCTGCCCGGCCCCCACAGGTGTCCCTCCCCAGGAGCAACGTCGAGCTGGCCAAGCCCACCCTGGCCATGCCCATCCATCTGCCATGACCACTGTAGCCACACCCACCCGATACCCGGCAATACATAAGTGGGTTTGGGGTTGAAGTTTGGGCACTCGGTCTCTAAATGGTTCGCCATCACTAGTCTAAAGTATAAGTTGATGCCAGCTAGATGCGTGCCAAAGGTTTTGATTTCAATATGTCCTGTATAAGTTTGAAACAGTTGTTTTACAGTCCATATGAACCATTTCACTGATATTCAAAACTCTTTTATATGAGTCTATAACTCTTTCAGTATCCATGACTTTATAATAGGAGTATCTTTTCAGAGAAAAAAGTAGGAATGGAAAATATATTCATCAAGAGAAGGCAGAAGCTGCCACAATTCATTACACAGGGACTGTGACTGAACCCAGTCTCATGGGTTTGTCCCTTTAAGAATTGACCTAAAAACTAACATAGCATTTTGCTAGAACATACATTCTAAAGTAACAGCAGAAGGAACTAAGTTGCCTGACTCCTGTCCCAGCAGATTTAAATCTGTGACTGCATAAATAGATGTAACTCTGCTTTTCTCACCAATGACTTTTATTATATAATTTGAAAAAAAAATCTGCTAATAGATCTGTCCTGATTATCCTAAGCAAGGTTTCATATTCTAAACTCTCTGCATGTATACTCATGTCTGTTATATTGTTGGTTCTTGTTTAAGGGCCAGCATTCATGAATAATAAGCACTGAGTATACTTGCATCCCATTCTCCCTTCACTTAAAGTAAAGTTATTTTAAAACAAATAGCTGTGTAAACTTTATGTGCAGCATTTAAATAGTCATGTTAAAATTCAGATTGAGTGCCCATGTTTGCCTGAATCAGTTTTATGAGATGAATTTGGGAATTTCAGCTGAATATCTAATAGTATGTATTGTGCAGATGGTGCTTTCCAACAAATGTTTAATGATTCTGGGTCAGTTTGCAACAGTTAAAGACTATTATTTCATTTCCTTTGCCACTTATAATCTAGTAATATTTTTAACTGCTAGACTTAGGTAGATGCAAATGCTGGAAATGCACTTACAAGAAAATTTGGCAGTTTTGTTAGCATATGTGAGATATAAGATATAAAGATTTTTCAGATAAAGAGCTAGTTGCAGAAATTATGCTAAAGTAAGATTTTTTTTTATTTATTTGCATCCTGCCTTTATTATTTTTATAAATAACTCAAGGGAGCATCTATATCTTTTGCTCTTTTTCTCTGTTGTATTTTTTGAATGAGCTAATAGAGTTATATCCAGTTTTTAAATCAGGAGTCTAATGTGAGCTAGGTAAAGTTTTTCCTTCACCAACCCTCTGTGACATACTGTACGTACTTTGGAATCAAAATCAACAGTGACCTTTAGAGATGAGTAGAGATTTGAATCTAGATCTCTCCACTTCAGGTCCAACATGCTAACACACTTAGGTCCTTGACAGGAAATATTCCACTGCAGTATCCAAGCATATTTTATATAAGTTGCTTGATTGCATTTGTATCTTTTAAGTATTTTTCAATAGTTTTTAATGACATTTTATTCAATTCATTCATTTATTCAATTCATTCATTCACTCAATTTCTATAACTACCCAACTCAGCCAAGTGACTCTGGGTGGTTTACAATTCTAAAATTTGTTTTTCTTTTTCACTTTTATTCTCTTTTATGTATTTATACTTGGAATAATAAATAGCAATGTTAATGTCTTGCTTAAAGTTTTAGAGATTTCTAGTTATGCTTTAAATGACACAATCCCCCCCAGTTCTACAAAATAATATTAAACTTCACATTTCATTACAATTATTTACTGATATTTTTATTCTTTTATCCACTACTTTTCATTTTTCTTTCTTTTCTCTCTTTATAGTTATTCTTTTTGTTTAAAATGTTTTAAGGAGGAAAAACAGAAATAGGATAGAAATACTATCTTTCCTATGTTATGTTTTTAGAAACAAATCAATTTAAAACAAGGTTTTAAATAGTTGACTTTTCACTAGTTATTTACCAAACTGAAGTAGTACTGGATGATGCTTATATTTCCTTTATACAAGGAATTTGTCACAATCAGTTTCTGTAAATTTTATTTTGAACTAAACTCATCCTTTCTATTCCTGAATTTTAGCTAGATTATCTGCTGGATCTTTATTTCACCTCTTACTATATTTATTAAGATAAATAATGATGCAAAATGGCCTCTAGAGCAAATTATTCTTTGCAGATTAGTGCATCCTTATTTAATTAGTAGATGGGTTAAATCATTCTAGAATAAAGCATTGATTTTTAATTTTATTTGGCAATAAAAGCTGATCATTTGGCTTTTTCTTAATATCAGTTTCATTCTCATGGCAGCAAGTTAGTTCTAGCATTAAAAAAGTTAAAACCTGGCTATTTCCTGGAACTTTTTTTTTTTTTTATAAAAAAACTCTTTTTCATTAGATTGTGCTGCATTGTAGAAGGGATTTATTCTTTTAAATTATTCAAGTGATGAAAAGCCCCCAATAGCTGCATTAAAGTTGACAAAATTAACTGTGACAAATGGAAGCATTCATTTTGCAGAAGGGAATGCTATTTGGGAAGAAAAGTAATTGAGAATGGAAAGAATAGACGTTTCCTCTGTTTATTGAGCTGTAAATTCTAGCATAATGTTCATGTTCTGCAACCTCAAGCCAGAAGTATTTTTCTACCTGTTGAATAGCTTGAACAACAACAATAATACAAGAAATCCACCCAAAGTCCAATTTTTTAAACAGGATTGTTTCTTCCAAAACCTTGGAGTCATAATCTTCATTTTCTTTTAGATCTGAACTGTAAACTAGAAGACAGGACAGACGATGGAGAGTTGATAGATTGTAAGAAAAGACCGGAAGAAGGGGAGGAATTAGAGGAAGAAGCTGTGCACAGTTGTGACAGCTGCCTCCAGGTGTTCGAGTCATTGAGTGACATCACAGAGCACAAGATTAATCAATGTCAACTGACAGGTAAACAATACTTCTCATTTTGTATTTGCTTACACGGTTTGGTTTCTGATTTTAGGTTTCTTCTGCAATGATGCTTCTCTCAATTCTTTCCTATTTCCATCCATTATTATTTTATTTTAAAAAATACACTTCAGAAAGGCTCAAGTAAACATTCTCAGGCAGAGTTGAATGGGTTGAATCTTCATTTACATTGACTGTTTTTCTAGCCTACTCCAGCTTCTTTCCTATAATTTAATAAACTTTTTACTGAGAAAATGGCATAGAATGCTTCTATTTTTACAAATTTGAATTTAGTACAGCTGCATTTAGGGGCGGTGTGGTGACTCAGCAGTTAAGAGGGGCTTATTGACTGGAAAGCCGGCAGCACAGGTTTGAGACCCAAGCACTGCGCAACAGGGTGAGCTCCCATCCTCTCTCTAGCTCCTGCCAAAGAAAGCATGCAAATGAGAGTAGATAAATAGGTACCACTTCAGTGGAAAGATAACAGCACTCCATAATGTCACATGACCACGGAAATGTCTTCCATTGGCTCAATGGCCTTGAAACGAAGATGAGCACCGCCCCCTAAAGTCGGTAATGATTAATGGAATAAAATCCTCAGGGACTCCTTTTCATGTTTAAAAATATGGATTTATGAGAGGATCTTGCTCCTCATTAGAAAGAAATGGTCATTGATGTTTCATTTTTTTTAACTTGTGTGAATTCTAAACAAGTATATTTTGACAGAGTTTCTTAGTAATATTAATATGAGAAGTGATTAGAAATCATTTGACTAACCTATTATAGGCATTTTGATCATGAGACGTATGCTTTAATATGCTTTTCCCTTAACACTTTTATGTTTAGATATGTGGGAAAATAATGAAGATATTTGCATGCACACACATACACACACCAAAGCAAAAAGAAAAGTATTGGGCATTTCCAGGAAAAAAAGGATGTGAGAAATTCAGGTGTCTCAGCATCAACTTGATGTTTAAAATTAAGAAATATGTGGCTCAGTACTGGTAGCAGTCATTCAGTTAAATAAAACAAATCCTTACACAAATGACTTTATTTTTTTCATTTATTTGTAAAAGAAGTTCAGATCTGCCTAAGCTACTGAATATTGATCAAAGATGACACATTTAACTCTATATTCAGTAATAAATTATTATCCTGGAATGAACTATATGTGATCATTGGTTTACCAGATCATATATAGCATCTACAAAATAGTCCAATAAAAGTTATGATCATGAGCATGAAAAGTATCATTCAGAACTCTTGGCAACAGAGCATCCACATTTAGTTCCTAATAATTTCAGTTAAAAAGAGATCTTTAGTCTGGGAAAATATCCTGCAAAAAGCTTTAGGTCCAGATAGGATAGACTAAATAAGGCTAGATGAACCGGTGTGGCCCCATAGTAGTTAGAATAGGAAACTATTTAAGTATTGAAATGTCTTTGCCAAAAAGGAGTTAATGACAGCATATTACTTTTCTGTTGTATTTGTGTTGCTTTTTGTTCTGTTAATATTTGAAACAAAGTGGTGTACACCACGCCTTCCTTTTCATTTCAGCATTTTTAAACAACCATCAATTTATTTAGCCAATTCTCATTTGTTCCTGGCAAGGTGTTGATATCTGTGGGTAGTTTTTTTAACATCTCTCCGTCATTGTTACAGTGTTTTGTTAATGTCTTCCAATCAGTCATTTTGTTTGTCTTCCTAGACCACAAAGAGATGACTGCATTCGTTTGTTGTTGTTTTTCTGACAAAACCTTTGTAATCCCATAATGTATGTCACCTGAAGTTGGGTGTTCAGTTGAGTGACTGCTAGCAGGGGAAGTGAAGCAAAAGGAGAAATTCCTGAAGCAGTACTCCTTAGATACTTTACCCCAGGTCATGCTTGAGGGCAGAACTTGCCATACTAAATGAGGATTAAAATGGTTCTGCCACTTCAGTAAATGTTTTTCGGAGGAAGGGACTGACTCCCCTAAAAATCCTGTGGTCTTGGTGTCACTCTCATTTCTGAAATAATATAAACTAAGAAAACTATATTTGTTTTAAGGTAGAATACAATTATCTTGGTATGTTTTCTAAGTTAGGGTTTAAAGATTCTGTGACTATTTTTACCTACTGGCAAATTTTGTATGAAATCAGTAATGTAAATACAGAACTATGATATTTATTGCAAAAATGATCTGCTCCCGTGTTCTGGAGGATGGTTCAAGTGTATGTCAAGCCTAGTTGGAAGATGCAAGAAGCAAAGTTGTAGGTGCATGGACACACTGCTGTGTACAATTTATATGGTTGTTTTCCCAGTGAACAGTAAAAGAGGGAATGAATCTTTAGATCTGGAAGCTGGGATTGTGCACTTAATACAATATTTCTGTACAGACCTCTTGAGAATAAATATCATGGAATCTTACGTGAATGACAATCAAATAATCATCACAGAAAACTGCTTGAATTAGGTATACGTGTCTATCATGCCACATTTAAATAAAAAAACATAATATATATTGATAATGTATTACTTAATATTGGTTTTGTGACACGTGGAGAGATGGCCATCTTTTCCCAATAAGTAAACTTTATTTAGTTTGAAATGTTATATAGATTTAGGATAAATGCTTTCCAGCATTTGTTAAGTTCTAATTCAAATTTATACAAAAATGAATCAGGATGATTTACTGTCTCCTGATCTTGTGGATTTTGGAGGGATGAAAGGAGTGTTCTCACAAAGACAGTAGCACAGATAGTCTTGTTGTTCATATCTGATTCTGAATGAGCTTTCCCTGGTGAAACAGGGAAAGCCCTTGAAGACTTTTCTACTGGCCCAAACTCTCTTCAGAATTATTTAAGACATAAAATTTCATCCTAGAGTAGTATCCCTCACAGGAAGATATTTAGGCTAATGGACATGCTAGGATACCAATGCATTACTTTTAGGAAGTACGACCACAACTGAACCCAAAATTTCTGTTGCTAAGCGTGACAGTTGTTAAGTGAGTTTTGCCCATTTTATGACCTTTCTTGCCACCGTTGTTAAGTGAATCAATGGCTTCCTCATTGATTTTGCTTGTCAGAAGGTTGCAAAAGGTGATCACATGACCCTGGGACACTGCATCTGTCAAATATGAACCAGTTGCCAAGCATCCAAATTTAGATCACATGACCATGTTGATGCTGCTATGCTCGTAAGTGTGAAAAAAGGTCGTAAGTCACTTTTTTCAGCACTGTTGTCAAGGTCTACCTGGATTAGCCTCACTGACAAATTACAAATGACTGTTCTTGGCCAGCCTTGATCCAAGTTGCTTTTCTTGATTCTAGCCCAGTATAAACTTGCTAACATAAAAGCAAATTTTAATGAAGTAGACTGGACTTCTATACAGTTATACCTGAGATGTGTTTATATATGCATACATATTTTATTTATATAAAAGATATCAGATGAGAATACTTTTCTGAATTTCATCAACTTTTCCCTTTTGAAAATTCTTGAGAATTCGAGAATGCTATAAAACTATTTTTTGAACTTAAATGTTGATACCTGAAACATTCCCATAAAGTATAGCCATACATTATTCTGTTGTGGTCCAGGTTAAGGCAAGGCCTACATGCTTTGCACAACCCAGTCAAATACTTGTCTAAGAAAGTTATTTTTTTGCAGAATATGTTCACTGCACATAAAAAAAGAAACAAGGATCAGATCTCTGCCAAGATAATCCAAACTATATGCCAAGAAAAGCTGAATCTAGCAACCTGTATGAATGATGTAATATTTTTTTTTTATTTCTAGAGCTGATACAAAAGTACTGCTCTTTACTCCCAGGGCTAACTCTTTTAGGCATTTCTCTATCTTGTGAGTTATTATCAAGCACTGAGCACAGTTTTGGGACAATAACTTCAGTCTAAAGGCTTGGAAAGTTTTGTGTTTTTTTTTGAAATTGTACTTTAAAGATATTTGGTACTGTAACTATTCCAAAAATTATACTGAAAATACTGCTGACTATTTTCAGTATTTATATCAATCCAAATTTAATAGATTCTACCAACAAAAATATGTGGTTAAAACATTGAAAAATACAGTTATTTGATGTGCATGGATACCCCTTGAATTCAAATTAGAAGATAAAGAATTAATGCAGCACAATAATGGGCAGTAATCATAATAACTGTATTTATCAATTTGTTTTTCTTTTAGTATAACCTGAAATCAAATCAATGTATTTTTTGTCCAGTTGCTTTTGGAAGTGTCATTCAAAGGCCAAACATGGTTTTAAAGTCGCACAGCGCAGTATGCAAAATAGTTCTGAAAACTAGAACTCACGTGGAGTCACGAAGTAATATTAACATGCAGTCATACAAATATATTAAGAAGGAACTACTGAAGGTGATACTGCTGAGAGTTTTCAACAAACTTATATTGCAATTCCAAAATGGCTGATGATTGCAAAAAAACTTCATTTAAAGGACTTTGTGTTTTTAATTCTTTATTTGGATTGAAAGGTCACCATACCTAGTAGGGGATGTCACGTGGGAATAGTGTAAATGTAACGGAGATCTCTGACCTGTTAATAAGCACCAGAAAGGAGATAGATACCACTCCACAATGTGCCCTAGGGGTCCTTTCCTTTTAAACTTCAAGCAGTGTAGCTGGAACTGCTCAACTTTTTATTTCTTTCAGTTTTACCTTCAGGGGAAAATTGATCGATTTGGAGATGATTATTCCATAATCTCTGAATTTTTCTTTCTCCACATTGCAGTGGGAATGTATTGAAGCTTAAAAAGTAGTATATTACCTCTGAGCATTGTATGCTGAGCCCAAAGAATGTATGGGGACAAAAGTCATATTTAAACAAACTGGTAGCAAACATATTTTGAAGTATAATACTAATATTTTATACTGAAAATATATCTTCAGTATGAAAAACTTGTTATGATATAAATATCCTTCTGATAATTTATATTATAATGTTATGAGATAATGGTATGACTTAACAATATTAAAACCT